CTTTCCCTCTCTCTCTCTCTCTCTCTCTTGCTTTGTCCCTCTCTGGTCAAATAAAAAATAAATATTTTTTAAAAAAAGAAAGAAAGAAGAGAAAATCATGCCAGGTACATGTGTGTGCCCAAAATCCCAAGAGGAGACCAGAGCAGAAGGAACTGTAGCATGACCATCCCCACTGGAAGGTTTCACTTTTCCTCCCTCTCTGTCTCTCTGCATGGTGAGTGCATGCACCCTATAGCAAAAAACAAAAACAACATTAAGAAAAAATTAGATTGTACCCACAACCTCGAAAACCCTCCTTTAGTGGTGCTTATCCCAGCGGCCTTGATTTGACCTAAGCCTCTTGTTGATTCGGAACCCTCTCCAAGAGATGAATCAGATGTCAAGAGTCACTGAATGAGTCAGTCTCCCGCTTGTCCTTTTTATGTATAAATTATGGTTTATGAGGCTAAGATGCTCATAATTCTATAAAAGTACCTTCTTATGAATGAAAGCAGCTGCTCAGAAGGGATCCTACGAGTTCAGTCAGAAAAACACACCCCTATCCTGACCTTAAAAAACAGTTCTGCCAGGATAAGTTATGTTTTCTTGAGCGAAAGGACAGAAAAGGTCCCAGTGTCAGAGACATATCCTCCTAAAATGCTGGACTCTGCAGGATGGGACATGTGGGAGGCTTGGGTTCGATTCCTGGCCCAACTTAAAGGTCAGGTGCAACCGTGAGGCACCTGTAATCCGCATGGCCTGCGAGGCAGGAAGATCTCAAACCCAAGGCTGGCCTGAATAAAACAGAGAGACCCTGTCTAAAAAGATGACAAAACGAAACCTGGGTGTGGTGGCAGATAGCTGTAAGTCCCAGCAGGGAGACTGAGGCAGCAGGACCCCAACATGGCAAAACCTTGTGTGGAAAAACAAAAACAAAGGGCCGAAAGAGTGCTGGCATTCCCACTCCAGCTGGACTGACTTCAAATATTAGCAGCGATTGAGTGTACACCAGGCCACTACCCAGCTGAGCAGTTATGAGTATTAATGAAAAAGCCCCCAAATGATGCTAGAAAAAGGAAACTGATCTTTATTTTATTGAGAAAAACTGAAGCTCAGGGACCAGCAGTTGGCGTAATGGCTATGTCACTGGCCTCCCATGTAGTAGACTGCGGTTCAAGTCCCGGACCCGGTGGCTTAAAACTCACAATGGGCGTGTGTGTGTGCGTGCCCAAGATCCCGAGAGGAGAATGGAGAAGGGATTGCAGCATGGCCACCCCCCGGGGGGTGATTTCTCGCTGTCTCTGTCTTGCTGCCAGGCGCACACGTCCTATGGGAAAAACCTCTCAAAAAAAAAAAAAAAAACCTGAAGCTCAAGAGAAGTCAATCACCTGTGCACATGCAGCTGCTAGGGGGGCGCAATGGGGTTGGCACCCAGGCCTAAGTCAAAGATAGCCAACCAGAGAGCCCTGGCCAATCTGGGACACAGATTCACCTGGCCTCTGAAATATTTTAAATAGTTGCCAAGATGAAAAAGCGTTCAAACATAAAAATGCCAATTTCCCGATGTTTTTGAAAATCACAACTGGTCGTACTCACCAGAAATTCAAGGCCACAATGAGCTGAATCAAGGAGTCAATGCTTTCTTCAGATAGGCTACCCAGTCTGCCCTACTCCCCACCCTTCCCTAGCACAGTGCACTCGGGAAGCTTTTTGCTCCTCTGTCCTCTATATGGCCCTGCAGGCATCTACATTTGTCCTTTAGGGCCCAGCTATATCCTGAGGAACCTGGGAAGGCTTCCATACACAATTTTGCTGAAAGCCCACTATGGTGGACACTTGACCTGTTCAAGCTTCCAAATATTTGAGTGCTTAAGAACACAGCCGTTTTAGCTCTTCTGACGAACCTAAGCAGGTTTAGAAATTTCCTCAGCCCCAGGACTCGCAGTGCCCTTGACTAAGCACGACTGTGAGAGCCAGAGTTTGCTGAAGGGCTCCATTCTTCGGCAGTCAGGCCTGTTACTTACTGTCATATCTGAAGGTGATGTTGTGCAGCCCGCTGGTTCTGCTGGCCGGCCCCACTCCCTGCAGGAAAACGAGAGAACAGGACGCGAGTGAAGCCAACTTGCTTTTCCAGAGCAGATCCCCACAAAGTCCAAAGGTGTGCAGCATCACAGCACGGCAGGGACCCAGGGTCATGCCAGTCCCCGGGCACTGTCCCCCCTCGCCACTGACGCCATGACCCCCAGCTGCCAAACTGCCCCCAGCCCAGGAGATCCCTGCACGCCCTTCTCCCAAGACAATGTAGAAGCAAGCTATTCTATGTCCCGGGGTTAAATAGTTCATTAACAGTAAAGCTGGGAGAGGGACCACGAGCTGCCAGCTGGAGCCCTTCCCGCTGGATCCACTGTGACCAACTGGTTATAAAATTCGCCGACCAGACGCCCTCATCCGAAAGCTCTATTAAGCCACGACAGATAGGTAATGCCTTAATTCTAAGGAAACCAGTTTCTCATTCCAAGACTGGGAATGAGTGTGGGAATAGGCCGTTACTTTTAATGAGAAAATTCTTCACTGCATCCATACCTATGTTTGGAATACTCAGGGTGAGTAGTAAAAGAAAAAAAGACTTTACAAGGTCTAACTCTTAACTCTGGGCGATGTGGCCATTAGCCATCTGCACTCTTAACAGCGGGGCCAACGACTGGACCAGACTTCCCACTTTAATTACAGCATCCACGCCTGCCGACCCCGCCTCTTCCTGACCCACCACTTACTCATCATGGGAAAGAGCGGCTACAGATCTCCCGCCTCGGATCTGTTTCTCTAATGATCTGCAAATGTGCTGCTCAGCATTAATGGCCAAATTCCCCAAAAGATGCTAATTCTGAAATGTGAAATGATGGGAAAATATTCTAACCGCACAGCTGAGGTTTCTCCTAACAAGGAGGATGCTGGGGGGAACCATATGCAGGCAGCCTGGTATTTAATGGGCAATTGTTGCACTGAGACACAATGTGGAGAAGGCTTTTGATGGAGCCCAGCGTTCCAGGCCCCAGGCCCATCATACCCATATGCTGCAGGCATGTTTGTGCTGATTATCCTGAAGCCAGGCACGCCCACTGACACTGTATCCCTCAGCGCAGAGCTACACAGACTTGGGAAAGGACAGCTGTACAGAAAGGGACACACACACGCACGCGTAGGCCTCTAAGGTGAGCAACACGAAGCTTGAAGCAACATGGTGTTGGCGCACCATCTACTGGGGCTCCTTCCTTCACCTTTCCTCCTCCAGCCATCCCCACTTTCCCCACATACACGAGATTCCAGAATTCTGTGCCGGAACTGGAAGCGTGGAAAGTGCTGTTACCTTAGTAAAACCCTAAGAGCTTCCGTAACTCCTTAAAGGTAAGGCCGTCTGTGTAATAGAGGCTTCCCAACCTTCAGGTGGTGGGGGCGAGTGGAACACAACCAGGCAGGAGCCACCCAACACCCAACACCCGCGAACCTTTAGTGACTGCCTAAGATCAACTTAAGACCCTCGAACCATACCCTTCTCCTTTACGAGCCTCCAGGACATAAACACACTCACCATCTAGCATGAGCCAGACGTGCTGGGTCCACCACACTGCCACCGTCCCTGCCCTCACGGCACCAAGCAGTTCGGTGCTCAGACTTTCCAGCCAGAGTAACTGGGTGCCGGGTGGGATCCAAAGCATGCAGACAAATCCCAGTCACGCCAGGGCCCCCACAAACTCTCAGTGCAGATGGCAAAGCAAGGTGTGCGCAGCGAGGGGGACAGCCAACCACAAACAAGCCCCTGAGCATGAAATGCCACAGGGCCGCGCCTGAGTGACGACCAATGAAGGAGGAGGAGGTCACACACAAGAAGCTCAGAAGGGGGGTAGGATGATGGGGCTGAGCTGCAGCGGGGAACAGCAACATCGTGGGAGGCAGACAAACATGCCACCCAGAGACCAAGCAAGTGCCTCGGTCCTTGCATTCTCCAGCTGGTGGCCAAGGGCAAACCACTCTGTTCCACTGGGTCTGAGTCTCAGTTCCCTTCTGTTTTAACGTATGCAGTTTTCCTCTCAGAGAGGGGTTTGAGAAGGACCACAGGGAGCCACATAGAGAAGGCACTTTTCAAAAAGCAGCTTGCACAGCTGTGAATTGCGCAGGGTCTGCGACGACAACCTTACTCCTGGGGCTTGGTCAGTTTGCCCTTCTGCTCCCAGTTCCCCCGTATTTCTTCCCCCTATATTTCTCCTGCAGCATGTTTTTGACAGCTATGTATTGGGTACTTGCAATGACCAGTGCATTGTGAATGAGAGCCCGAGATAGTGAGTGCTATATCATGCATGCAAGAACCTAAATGCCAGGACCAGCACATAGCATGGTGGCTAAGGCACTGGATAGTCTCACATGGCCGACCATGGTTCAAGTCCCAAGCCTCACGGATCACTTCCGGGGTGGTGGTGGGGGGGGTAGTTTGTCTCTTTCTCTGTCAAATTAAAAATAAACGAATGAATAAATAAAATTAAATAATATTTTTTAAAAGAACCTAAATCCCTCCACTGAAGGCCTCTGCGATGTATTGGTGAGACTCATTTACAGGCAGCGTCTATGCACAACCCACTGAGCACTCTACCTTGGCCTACCTGGGCACTCAGTCTTTTTTTTTCAATTTTTTTAAAAGAATTATTTTATTTAGGGGGCTGGCAGTGGTGTGGTAGTGAAGGTACTCGACCACAGTTTGAGTCCTGGATCCCGGACCTGGTGGCTTTCTCTCTCTCTGGTCAAATTGAAGAAAAACAATAATAAAGTTTTTAAATTATCATTTTATTTAACTTTATTAGTAGTATTGAATTTGACCAGAGAGAGACAGAGAGAGAAGGGAAGCGAGAAAGCAAGCCACGAGGTCCAGTACTCAAACCACAGCTGGCCATGAGGGAGCCCAGTGCCTCTAACCACCACGCCACCTGCAGGCACCTGTTTTATTTAACCGTATTTATTTATTTATTTATTTTAATTTGGCCTGAGAAGGACAGAGTTAGAGAGAAAGAGATAGAGGGCAAGTGAGAAAGCAAGCTGCCAGGTCCGGCAATTGAACTGTGGTTGACCACATGGGAGTCCAGCGCCCTTAACCACCACCCCACCTGCCAGCCCCAGTGGGTGCTCAGTTCTGAACCAGACATGGATCCTGACCTCAAAGGGCTCCGGCCACTAAGGTGATCTCCAAACGGGCTATCTGTTCTCGTGTCTGACCCCAAGCCCTTCACTGGCTCCCTGTCCCCGTTCCTGCTGCGGCCTCTGCCTACCTTCGCAGTCACTCTTCCACCCCTTCCACGCTCCTGGACCACAGTTCTGCTCAGCACATGTTCTCAGGCACTCCTGCAACCCAGAATCCCCTTGTCTTCCATCACATCCGTGAAGGCCTTCGCACCACCCAGGTCCTGCTCTCCCCTGGGCTGCTGCCTCAGCCTGGCCCCTCCTACACGGTCCCAGCACATCAGCCTGCCAGCACGCTCGCTCCACGGGAGCAGTCATTCATCCCATGATTTGACTGTGGCGTAATGACAGATACAAAATGGTAATTCTAATTCTACAGAAAATCAGAGAGGAGACCATAAGACCCTGTGACCATCCAAGCCTGGCCACAGAGTTCAGAAGCAAAAGACACTATCCCGGATCTCAGGTCCCAGCATTCTCACGTGCACAGTGGAAACCTCTCCCTCAAGAAGTGGCCAGCCTCTCAGCGCATGCGTGACTGATGCGCCACTGGTGTCCTTGGCTCACACCCACGTATTGCTGCAGCTGCTCAGAGCCCGCGGAAGCCACTCGGAAACGGGTGCCCAGGAGAACTCATGAGCACTACTCCTGATGCTTCCTAGTGGACAGAATGACAGCCCACAAACAGGTCCACACCCTCGTCACCAGAACCTGTGACGATGTTACTTTACAGCGCAAAAGGGACTGTGCAGATGGACCAAGTGTAAGGATCCTGAGGTGGGAAGAGGAGTCTGGGCTGTCTGGGAGGGCCCAGCCTAACCACAAGGGTCCTTAGAAGAGGGAGACAGAGGGGTTAGAGCCAGAGAAGGAAACGTGACAATGCGAGGAGGAGAGGGAGGGACGGACGGAGGAAAGAGGTGGCAGAAAATATTTTGATTTGATACTACGCTACTGGTTTTGGAGATGAAGAAAGAAGGAGTGAATGAGCCAAGGAATGCAGGTGACCTCTGAGGCAGGAAAGGCCGAAGACACAGATCCCCCCCTACAGCCTCCGGAAACAAACAACTCTGCCATCACCTTATCCTGGCGCCTAAGACCCATTGGATTTCTGACCTCCAGAACTGCAGGATACAAATCAATGTCACTTTAAGCCACTGAGTTTGCGGTCTTTTACTGCAGTGCACTGAAAGCTAACATGTGCTTATACACTGTCCCAGCGACACACCCGGATGTGCTGCGGCTCCCAGTGCCAGCCCACACACCCACACCTGACCACCCGTGATCATGCTCTGTCTCCTGCCGGCTTTAGGCACACACGGCACGCTGCTCCCTCAGAGCTGCTGTGGAGACCTGCCACCCTAGACACCGGCTTGGGTCAGCTGGCCTGGGCTTACATGCAGCAGAGGATAAATTAAGAGAATTATGGGGTCCGGCAGATGGCATGGTGGTTAAGGTGCTGGACTCCCACATGGCTGACCATAGTTCAAGTCCCAGACCTGGTGGCTGGCTTTCTCACTTTCCCTCTCTCTCTGTCTCTCTGGTCAAATTGGAAAATAATAATAATCATATTAAATAAAGTTAAATAAAAATAATAATTATTTAAAAAAAGAGAGAATTACACAGATGTGCATTCGAATCACCCACTTTCCAGCTGTGTGTCCTTGGGCAAGTTTCTGAACCTCTTGGAGCTGTAAGTGTTTGAATAAGACCTCCTGGAAAAGATCGGTATGGGGACTACATGAGAGAACATAGACCTAGTGCTGGGCACGGCATCTGACACTCCGAAATGCTGATGTTACTGTTCTCAGGAACAATAACGAGGTGGGAGTTGTACTATAACTTCCAGGGGGTAC